AGACTTGGTGAGTCAGTCTGGAAATGCAAGTTCTCAAATCCCTAGAAATGTTCTCGTATAATTTATTTCATTATTTCTCCCCTCTACTTTTTTATCTACTTCTGGAATTTCTATGATTCATATGTGAACCTCTTGATTTTATCTTTATTGTTTTATTTTCTCTCCCATGTTCCATTTCTTTGTCCCACCAAATAATTTTCTACTTCAGCTTTCAAACTTTCTTTCTTTCTTTTTTTTTTTTTTTTTTTTTTTTTGAGGTGGAGTCTTGCTCTGTTGCCCAGACTGGAGTGTAATAGCACAATTTCGGCTCACTGCAGCTTCTGCCTCCTGGGTTCAAGCTCTTCTCCTGCTTCAGCCTCCTGAGTAGCTGGGATTACAGGTGCATACCCAGCTAGTTTCTGTATTTTTAGTAGACGGGGATTCACCATGTTGGCCAGGCTGGTCTCAAACTTCTGACCTCAGGAGAGCTGCCCTCCTCAGCCTCCCAAAGTACTGGGATTACAGGCCCAAGCCACCATACCAGGCAACTTCCAACCTTTCCGCTGTAATTTTTATTTCTATAATCTGTTCTTTAATTTCCTACAGCCCTTTCTTATGTCTGGATGTGGACACAATATGAACGTAACAGCTTCTCTTAACTCTCTGAAGATATTAATCACCATTTTTTATTTGTTGTTTAGTTTTTCTTTTACTCTCTGCATAGTCTGTTTCCTCTGAATTCCTTTTTCTGTTTGTTTTGATCCCTGCCTTTCATATTAGAAGATTCCTTAAATGTCTGATGATTTTTGGCAGTCCACTCAGAGTCCTACCTGGATTCCAAACTTAAGAGTCAGGACCCAAGTGACTGGCTGGAGTTTGGAACAGGTGGGCAGGGCTCACCTAACTGTGGCTTCAGGGCAGGGTGATCAGGGAGGACTCAGATAGATGCCAATCTCAGTGCCTCAGCTTACCAGTTGGGCTGGTCATCTCCTCCATGGAAGAATCTTCTATATCTTCACTTGCCTTACTGTGGCTGGAATTCAAACCTGAGTTGTACCTCTCCCAGGTCTTGGCTCTCAGGCCCTGGCCATGCTGCTGAGAAGCAGACCTGGGCACAGGTGCAGGGCAGTGAGCAAAGTGACCCAACACCCAGCGTCCTGCAGACCCATCCCCAGATCCATGCCCAGATTGCCCTGCACCTCACTAGGTCTCACAGGCTGACAGAGCTGGAAAGGCCCTGAGGGGGTCCTGTCTCTGAGCTGCCGTTGTACAGATGAGAAGACTGAGGTCCAGGGAGGGGCAGAGACCTACCCTGGGTTACTAGAGTGAGGCAAGGGCAGAGGCAAGCCTCAGAGCAGTCCCACAGGCCCGAGTCAAGAGTGGCACTTCCCCACAGCCTGCCCCGTGTGAGGCCAACCCAAAAATCACCGCCGATTTCCATAGAGGAAGTTCCTGGCCGATGGTGGAGGGCAAGGCTAGAGGAGAAAAGTTTTTGTCCCCCGGGCCTTGGAAAAACATGAAGCAACAAAGGAATTTCACCTTGGAACCCTGATCCTCGTCATCTCTCCCCAGTTGACCCAGATATGAGGCTGTAACTCAGCACAGCTGACTCAGAGGGCCTCGGTCCCTTGAACTGAGGTCTGCGGTCAGGTTCCACTCTGGACACACTCTAAGACCTTGGCAAATCTGGTCTCCATGGATCTCAGGATATCAACTCTTTCCTGTCCACACACTGGATCTGTATTGCTTTCCTCTCAGAGCTGCTCCCATACCCCCTCCATCATCTCATACCCCCAGACCCATCCTCCCAGCCCAGGTCAGCCCCTACACCCACCCCCCATCACCCTGCACCTACCACTTTCCTAAACAACAATGTCAGTCACCTGTAGCGTTTTCAAGTCATTTCAAGAAAACTACAGCCCACTTGGTAAAAATGTGTAGATCAGAAAACACACACGTGCCAGGTGGAGCACTTCACGACAGCAGTCTACACTATGCCTTATACTTGTCATTGGAGAGTACAGCTTCCCTCTTTAGAGTAAAATTTTCCCTAAAATCTTATTTTCTGGCAAATAAGGCATTTAAAACACACATCTAAGAGACAGAAAATAGGTTGGTGGTTGCTTAGAGCTGGGGCATGGAGGGATTAGAGGATGAGACATAAAGATGTAGGGATTCTTAGGATGACAAAAATGAACATATTCTAAAGTATATGCCAGTCATTAGTGTACAACTCTCTGAATACACTAAAAGCCATTGAACTGCATACTTTAAATGGATGAATTGTATGGTGTGTGAATTATATCTCAATAGAGCTGTTACCAAACACACAGATACACACACACACACACACACACACACACACACACAAGTGACATCCTCCTGGCCTCCTCTGTTGTATGTGTCAGCCCATACATCACCCATGATGGTGAAAGTTGTCCTTACACAGCCACTTGACCCCAGACTCCAATACTGTTCAACCACTTTCAACAAATTGAGAGTCAAAGTTTTTAGCAAGAAAGAAAAAAAAAGCACTTATCAAGAGTGCTTGTTGCTCTTCCTGCCGGAGTGACCGCTGCCTCATCCGTCAGGGACCTTCTGATAAAGAGAGTTTGGAGAGAGCCTGTTTTGCCTCACTGATGACCTTGAGCCTGGAATGACATCAGTTGGAGAAGGCAGTGTCTTGTGAGCAGCAGCAATGAGCTTCCACAAAGAAAAGCAGTCCTCCAGGGACCAGCTTTTCCTCCAATGATCCCAGCACCAAGATAACATGTATAAACTTCTGACTTAAAGTCGATCCTGTTGTTCTATGTGGCCCCACATTCCTCCCTCAGAAGGAGCCCTAACTGACGTGGCATGGAAGAACTTGTGGTCCTCATGGCAGCCACACGCACAGCTCAAGGCATTTCACTAAGTCAAGTGCTCCCCCACCACTACACCCTAGTCTACACTACACTCTGAGGGCATTTCATCTGTTTCTGTGCCACCCCACTCTAACCGTTTAAAGGGAGGAGGGAGGGGCAAGGACCTAAGATGTTTGGAGAGAAACCAGCCAAGTGTCTCAAGGTTACGGCATTTCTCATCTTAAGTGTCAGATGTGGCTGTTAAACCTATTTTATTATTAACTGGATTCCATTTGCTGTTTGGGGTTTTTTGTTTGTTTGGCCTTGGGAGGTGTCATGTGGCCATATGGTAGAGAGATATTTCTGAGGAAGGAATGAAACACATTGTTCCTGCTCAGGCTAGGGCTTATGTAACCAGAGATTATGAAGACTGAATGTGCTGTGTCCTGGAGGAAAGGGGACTCTGCTTTGGGGACTATTTCTTTTATGGATCCTGAAATGAAGGGAAATACAGGACAGAGTTGCTGGGTGGTTCATGCCTGTAATCCCAGCACTTTGGGAGGCCGAGGTGGGTGGATCACCTGAGGTCAGGAGTTCGAGAGTAGCCTGATCAACATGGAAAAACCCCGTCTCTACTAAAAATACAAAAAATTAGCCGGGAGTGGTGGCACATGCCTGTAATCCCAGCTACTGGGGAGGCTGAGGCAAGAGAATCACCTGAACCTGGGAGGCGGAGATTGGAGTGAGCCACGATCACGCCATTGCATCTCAGCCTGAGCAACAAGAGCGAAACTCTGTCTCAAAAAAAAAAAGGGACAGAGTTGACATAACTTTAGGGACAGGAGTAATTGGAGTGAAGGAGGAGAGAAGACTGGACCCAGAAGTCAAAGGCCCAGAGCCCTCAGCAGAGGAGTGTTGCCAGGTTGGGGGCCCCTGCAAAGGGCATCTCTGAGGGTTAGTCCTGGGGGCCCACCCATCACAGCCCTCCTATGGGAACTTACTCCACATGGTGAGCTCAAACCTGAGCCCTAATCCTCACTTAGCTCCCCAGTGCTGCCTCTCCCTGCTCCACTAAGCCCCCATCACCCCTGTAAGTCCAGAGGAGCCCTCACACACCAACTTAAAGGGTGAATGAGTACCCCCAGAGCACTCCCTGCCCGTATGCAGGACACACTGCAGCTCCCTGTCCCCCTCTACACATTGCTCAGGCTGTCCTTGAACCTTTGGGCTCAAGCAATTCTCCTGGCTCAGCCTCCTGGATAGCTGGGAATACAGGCGTGTGCCACCACGTCCAGCTTCATTTTTATTTTTGACAGCTTCACTTCACTTTCTCAGTGGAAACATGTTAAAATATTAAAATTCTGCTGTAAAGTTTTTTTGAAAGGATATTTATAATTTTACTCTTGAAACCATTTGGCTACGAGTAACTGATTTAAATTACAATTGGGAATTCTCGTGAAATGAGAAAAACCTAGCCCACACATTCTTTCAAATGTAATGAAATTTTTATGAATACTAAATTTAACAATTAATGAGGTTGATATAACATTACAGTTGGACACCTGATTAAGAATTTATTGATTTCAATTTTGCAGTGTTCTTATTTCAGAGCCAATCATTTTTTCTTCAGCTGTCAAATATTCACATGGGCTCCAGGGAGGCCCCCGCTGTGGGCTTCTCTAGTGGGCAGTACATAAGTAACCAGGTCAGCCGCTCTTCCCTGTCCTCTCCCTGACGCACCTCACACCCCTTTAGACAGGCACATAAGGAAAAACATCCATGTTGGCCGGACTGTGGAGACAGAGTCCAGTTCCAGATGAGGAAGGGGATGGGGCCAGTCAGACCAGGGCACAGAAGCCATGCCATGCCATGCCATGTAAACAAGAAGTTTCTTACTGCAGCCAGTACACCAGCCTCCCCTCGGAACCAGAGGGCCGGGTGGCCTGAGGCCACCCTCAGCCAGGTCTGTAGCAGAGGCTGAGGCCGAGATTGACACTTTGTCCTTGCTGCAGATAGCCGCTTCCGTCACTCCAGAGCCTCAGCCGGCGCCTCTCAGATCAAACCTCATGCCACTAGGTGGAGCCAAAGCCCGCGGCAACAGCGCCGGGATCGGACACCCAGCCGCGTGCAGGAGGGAGGTGGGCTCGCGAGGCAGGGGACCCCGGACTGAGTCTGGGCTCTAACGGGGGGCCAGAAAAGGAGTGGGAGAGCCGGCAACAGCTCACAATGGTTTACATGATTGACATGGTCTATTCCGTCTGAACTCGCACTAAAGACTAATTGGTCCCAGAGCCAACCCCAGCAGCCGCAAACACCCCTTTGTCACAGGAGGAGGCTGAGAGCCTGAGGAGAAGGACCCAGAAGAGCCAGAACAGGGCTGAAGCCAGAGTCCGTCCCCCCGTTCACAGCTCCTTTCCCTGCACCGCTTCCGGGATCCATCCCCTCCCCGGGGGAGGAAGGTACAGCTTCCAAAAGGGAGATTCTGAGAGCGAGGCCCGGGGATACGCTTGGCCCCGGAGCCTACGACTGGCTCCGGGGCCCGAGCCACGGTCCCCTCCAGCACCTGCCCTTGCTGGCCGCAGCTGGGATGCGGGCTTCGGGGAACAAACGCCGGCGACCCAAGCGGCGAGAAGCATCCACCGGCAGGAGCTACGGTGGAGGGGGCGGGGCGGGTGCGGACCCGGAGGAGCCGCATTGGACGAGGGGGTTGCTGGGGTTCTCGGATTGGCTGGCCATGAGGGGGCGGGACAAAGGGCGGGGCTGAGAGGCGCGAGGTCCTGGAGCGTGAACGCTTCAGGAAGGCGCTGAGACCTGGCACAGGTATTGCAGAGCCTTCTGAGGTGGGGGCCTGAGCTGCAGAATTGATCGAGCATATGGGGTGGCCATCGGCCTCGTCGCCCCCAGACACAGGCGTACTGGGAGAGACCAAGCTCCAGGGTCCCTCAGGTAGCCAGATGTGCATCCTTCGGCACAGCTTTGTCCCTCCCAGAACTCATTTTCCCCAGCCGGGGCCCCGGGGACCATCCCAATCCAGGACTCTAGCCTGCCCCTTCCCTTGCTCTCACTGACCTCCCGCCAGCCAAACCCGGTAGGTATCCAGATCCCTTCCTGTCCCGCCCCCTACCCTGCTCCATCCTCATCTTTCCCTTAACGAAATCTCTCTCCAGGGACCACGGTTACATCACACACAGCTTTGCACACCCAGTGCCCAGCACAGAGCCCCCACTCTCTGTGGTATCCTTTCGCCTCTCGCAGGGTCCATGGGAGTGGGGGACCAGGCTGGGACAACATGTGGCCCCACCTGGTTGCTGTGAGAGCTCGGGTAAGGAAGTTTACAGAAAAGTGTGGGGTCAAAGGTCACTGCACCTGTAAAAAGTGAAAATGGCCAATTATCATCAACGTCAAGAAAAATTGCCCTTGTTGCCCTTTCACTACAGTAGAGTGCTGCTTCAAACAAACCAGTATACAAATGCCAACCACAGGTGCATTCTGCTTGTGAGGACTCCGGAGAAACTAGTTGTTTGACTCTGTACAAGAACCAATCACAAGGTTTCCTTAAATGGCACACTTTCTTTGAAATCTGAAGCAGGGAATTACCTTTCCGGACACACCAAGTTCACCTTGCAGCCTCTCAGAACATACAGCCAGGCTCCACTAGAAGGCAGCAGAAAGATGGAGATGCTCAAGAAAAAAAGGAGCCTTAAGTTAGTTCTCACCATCCCTGGAGGGTGTGAGGAGCCTAGTAAAAATCATACTGCTATTTGTTCACATTTATTGACTGGTTACTCTAGGCTAGCCATCCCTCCAACTGATCTGCTAAAAAATTAAGTAATTTGGGCCGAGCGTGGTGGCTCCCAGCACTTTGGGAGGCCAAGGCTGGTGGATCACCTGAGGTCAGGAGTTTGAGACCAGCCTGGCCAACATGGTGAAACCCCATCTCTACTAAAAATACAGAATTAGCCAGGCTTGGTGGTGCATGCCTGTAACCCCTGCAACTTGAGAGGCTGAGGAAGGAGAATCGCTTGAACCTTGCGGAGGTTGCAGTGAGCCAAGATCCCACCACTACACTCCAGCCTGGGCAACAAGAGCGAAACTCTGGCTCAAAAAAAAAAAATGAACTAATTTGATCCTGCCATTAACCCTATCAGGGTGGATACAATTGTGTTAACCCCATTCTACAGCTGAGAACAGACACAGATTGAATCCTTTGCCTAAGGTCACACAGCCAACAAGCAGCAAATCTGGGATATGAACCTAACAGTAGAGCTATAAATCCGACACTGGTAAAGCTATGCACTTTTGCTTCCATTGAAGAGAGAGGGAAGGATGGAGAGCAGAGGTGACAGCTGAGGCTCCCACAGATAGTACCCTTGTGGGCCCTTTAAGGCCAGTTCCAGAAGCAGGCACCAGACAGGTCATCTGGCTAATTAAGGACCTTCGGTCATCAGGCAGGTAGGGTCAGAATCTGAGCTCACCTTCACATATGCCCCCACACACCTTGCAGGAACCTGGCCCAGCCCACCCATCACCATGGGTGACCCAGCTCTCCAGTACCCTGGGTGCCTGCCACCATGGTGAACCCTTGTAACCACTGTGTCCTCTCTGGCTTAGATGTGTGAAATTGACCTTGACCCACTCTTCCTTATCCTTTAGGCAGCGTCGCCTGCCTCCCCCATCAGCCAGGCTCCGGCCTCCTCACGGCAGTCAAGAAGAGGCCAATCGCCGGGCGCGGTGGCTCACGCCTGTAATCCCAGCACTTTGGGAGGCCGAGGCGGGTTGATCGCAAGGTCAAGAGATCGAGACCATCCTGGTCAACATGGTGAAACCCCGTCTCTACTAAAAATACAAAAAATTAGCTGGGCACGGTGGTGCGTGCCTGTAATCCCAGCTACTCAGGAGGCTGAGGCAGGAGAATTGCCTGAGCCCAGGAGGCGGAGGTTGTGGTGAGCCGAGATCGCGCCATTGCACTCCAGCCTGGGTAACAAGTGCGAAACTCCGTCTCAAAAAAATAAAATAAAATAAAAAAGAAGAGGCCAATCAGCAGCAGCGACTGCTGCCAAGAAGCTGGAGTCCAGAAAGGATCGAGGGGATGTTGGTGGGGCCCTTTTCAGGGCAATCTTGAGAACTTTCAGGCCAGAGCCTAATCCTTTCCTGATTTTCTTTCTTTTCTTTTCTTTTTTTTTTTTTTTTGAGACAAAGTCTCGCTCTGTTGCCAGGCTGGAGTGCAATGGCACGATCTTGGCTCACTGCATCCTCTGCCTCCCGGGTTCAAGCAGTTCTCCTGCTTCAGCCTCTCTAGTAGCTGAGACTACAGATGTGTGCCACCATGCCCAGCTATTTTTTTTTTTTTTTTTTTTTTTTAGTAGAGATGGGGTTTCACCATGTTGGCCAGAATGGTCACGATCTCTTGACCACATGATCCGCCTCCTCGGCCTCCCAAAGTGCTGGGATTACAGGTGTGAGCCACCATGCCCAGCCTCTTTCCTAATCCTCTTCCCAATTTAACATTTACTGAGCTGCTACTGTGTGCAGGCACCGTGCTGATTGCACAAGGGGGACTTGCTGGGTGATCTTGAGTGCACTATCTAACACCCCCACTTCAGCCCTTCATTAGTTCCTCTTCTGTAAACTAAAAGTTTGCAGAGACCAGGGGTTCTTTACTTGGGACTGAAGGGTGCCCTGAAATTGGGTGTGCGTGTCTCCACACACCCCGTTAGTACATCTTTCCAGGGCAGGGTTTCTCCGCCTCAGCACTATTGATACTTAGGGCCAGACAATTCTCAGATAGAAACCTCCCTTAGATAGAACACACCTGCGGGCTGGCATTTGCATATTGGTTCATCAGGCAGGTAGGGTCAGGTTTGTTTGAAGCACACTCTGCTAAAGTGAAAGAGCAACAAAGGGACAATTTTTCTTCTTGACATTGATGGTAATTGACCATTTTCCGTTTTTACAGGTGTGCTGATCTTTAACCCCAACACATTTCTGCAAACATCCTTAGCTCAAAACCTGTGCATTGTGGAATGCGGTAACCCACTAATTCCTCTCTGCAGCCTCCCTCCCCCACCGCCTTTCCACCCACCCCACCTGCTGTGGCCAGGCTGGGAAGGTTGCAGGAAGGTGGCACGCTGCCATGGACAGTTTAGGAGAAGAAGAAGCAGGAAGCCCTCCAGGCCCAGCTCTCTGTGAGCCCTGCCCAAGCCCGCCTACACCTGCCTGAGTTTCCGGGGCCCCTCACCCGTGGCCTGGGAAATTGGCTTCACCTAAATCCAAGATGCAGGCCCCTGCCACAGGCATTCCCTACACCCCTGTGAGAGCCCTGGGTGCAGGTCAGAAAATGAGGCAGAGGCCAGAGCTAGCACTGGGGGCAGAAGCAGGCAGTCCCTCCTCCCATGGCAAAGCCTGCATCCTCTCTCCTCCTGCACAGCGGCCCTTCCCTCCCTGAGCACCTGACGGGTCTGCCGGGTGCCATGTGAGGGCCAGAAAGTCAGAGGCATATTCAGGGCCGAGCTGAACAGTGTTTAACAACCAGCTCTCTGGACTGGGGTGAGGGGCACTGATTTGTAGTCTTTGCCCATTTCTGTGGTGCAAATACTCCTACCCTGGCAGATATAAAGCCACCAGTATTTTGTCACTGAGCATGGAGCTAGTTCATACCATCACACAGTGTGTGCACCACCAGGTGCCACAGACGCAAATTACCGTACGAGCATGAATAATGGTAACATAAAGTAAAAAATTAGGAAATGAGTTTCTAGTGAGTATTTCCTTCTTTAACAAAGGAGGTGCTATTATGGAGGCCTGAAGAGGGGGTAAATGTATCCCAGAAAGGGGTAAGGGGAGAATGCCAGGCTAGAGGGGGCACTGGGGAAAAACCAGGAGAAAAGAAAGCGCTTTTAGTAAATACGTGGCTCAGTCTGGCTGAGGGGATGGCTGGGTTCCAGCGCAGGTTCTGCATTGACCCCTCTGTCACTTGGACCAAGTGTACTCCCTTCTCCAGGTTTCTCACCTCTGTCAAATTGGGGCCCTGAACCAGATGGGTTCCAGGCTTGCTAGTGGTCTAGAATCCCCAGAGTCCTCCGAGGGGCCTTGTGAATATGCACATGGCTCATGGAGGGGGTCTGGCCCACAACTAACACACAAAACCAGATCTTTCCCTCCCTCCTCCTCCCCACTTCACCCCGTTCCCCCAGGTAATCCCCGAAACTCCTGGTTTGGCTGCAGAAAGTAACTATAATTACAGTCTTTCTTTTTTTTTTTTTTCTGAGATGGAGTTTCACTCTTTTTGCCCAGGCTGAAGTGCAGTGGTGAGATCTCGGCTCACTGCAACCTCCACCTCCCAGGTTCAAGCGATTCTCCTACCTCAGCCTCCCAAGTGGCTGGGATTACAGGTGCCCCCTACCCCCGACCCCGCGCCACCACCTCGCCTGGCTGATTTTTTTGTATTTTTTAGTAGAGATGGGGTTTCGCCATGTTGGCCATAATTACAGTCATTTATAGAACACTTTGCTTCCCCTCCTAATTACCAAGCTGTGCAATTCCAATTACATGTCTAAGGAAACATCTCAGGAACCCCTCCCTGGGGCCACCCTGGCAACCGCAGCCCCTAGGCTGGCCAGAATGGAGTGGGAGCGCCTTCGGCTGCTGCTGACATCTCCTTCCTGGCTTCCTGTAGTGCCAGACCAGGAAGGAAACCTTGCTTCAAAGGCCTGCCCTGGGGTGGGTGTGGGAGGAAAAGAGGCAGAAAAGCCCCCCAAGATGATGAACTTGAGACATGGGGAAGGGATGAGGGGTTCCTTCTGGTCATGCAGAAGGCCTCCGTCTACACAGCAGGAGAGCCTTAGAGTACCAGGATGGTGGTTTCACAGCATAAGTTAGAGCTTGTTCCCCAGGGAAGGGGCTATTTAAGTTTAGAAAGCAATGACCCATCGACTATAGACAGGTTCTCCAGCCTCATGTCCATCACCACCACTGAAGATCCCTTAGCAACAGCCCCCACCTGCAGAGCAGCCAACCAGCCTTGCCTCTGATGCCTCCTGTGATTGGGAGTCAGTATCCCAAGAGTAAGCCTCTGTGACCTTTGGGTGCTCCATGGATGAGAAAGCTCTTCCCCCATCAAGATAAGCTTCACTCTGTGCAATTTCTTTTTTTGTTGTTTTTCAAGGGTTTTGTTGTTGTTTTGGTTTGGTTTGGTTTTTTGAAACAGAGTCTGGCTCTGTCGCCCAGGCTGGAGTGCAGTGGCACAATCTCGACTCACTTCAGCCTCTGCCTCCCAGGTTCAAGAGACTCTCCCACCTCAGTCTCCTGAGTAGCTGCAGGCACTCAGCTGGCTAATTTTTGTGTTTTCAGTAGAGACAGGGTTTCAATACGTTGGCCAGGCTGGTCTCGAACTCCTGACCTCAGCTGATCCAACCCCACCCCCCCACCGCCGCCCACCTCAGCCTCCCAAAGTGCTGGGATTACAGGTGTGAGCCACCACACCCAGCTTCCTCTGTGCAATTTCTACCCACAAGTCCCATCTCAAGTCTCTGGGGCTACTGCTCCCTCTGCCCTGGGTGTACCAATGGATATATCCCCCCTTCTGTTCCTCTCCTAGTCAGGCATTTGGCTCCCACAAACCTTGCCTGGTTCTTTAGCCCCACCGTTTCTGATGGTAGAGGCTCCCTGGGGCTTCTCACTGTACATACCCCCACCCCCAGATACCCACACTCAGTCCTAGGCACAGAGCTGGCACTCCCAAGTGGCTGCACTCCTGAGCCCCAGCTTCCTACCTCCCACAACCCAGCCATCTGGGCGGCCCCAGGCCCACACCTACACCATGCCCAAATCCAACTCCACCAGCTTCCTCTGCCCCTGCCCCTCACCCCAGGCCCCTTTCATCCAGTCTTCAAAGCTTCAAACCCCTGCTCTCCTGCTCCTTCTTCCAAGTGTCTCCAAACCCCATCCCTCTCTTCCCACACTCCGGGCCCTGCCCCACATCAGGCCACCATCCTCTGTCCCCTAGAATTCTGCAAAGGCCCCTCCCTGCTCTCCCCACCTGAACCTGCCCCCTCCCGTGTGTCCTAGAGGCAGCATAGCATGGAGATTAGGGACACAGCTCCAGTGCCTTCCAGCCCCTGCTTCTCCGCTCACTAGCTGTGTGGCCTTAAGCAAGCTGCTCAACCTCTCTGTGCTTCGTTGTTTTAGTAGTACCTCTCTCCTAGACTTGCCTGTGAATAGTCTGGTTGCCAAGGAATTCAGAATGGCTGATAGGGGATGGGAGGGAGGGGATAAAACCAAACAGAAAGGGGCACAGGAGCCAGATCCATAAGTCCTTAGACCTTCAGTGCTCAACTAAGGCCTGGGAGCTTTCTCCTGAGATGAGTGGAGAGCCTTCAGGATAAAGTCTTCAGTCTGATCAGTGTTGTGCCTTAGATGGTGCCTAGAGAATGTCTTGCTTTCTCTCCTGCACAGACTGAGAACCCATCTTCCCCCAGGGGTGCTGAGAGGTCTGTCTCTGGCTCCCCTGCCGCCCCCCTGTCTCTGCTGGGACCGGTAAGTCATGGAACCATGCCTGGCAGATGCCAGGTCTCTCTCACCACTGGAGATCAGGACTGGATCCAGGGGTCTGACTTGACTTCCAACCCCAGGAGGGTGGGTGGGGGCCAGGAGGGCTTGTCTAGGTTGTCCAGGCTTTTACCGAGGCCTCAGGGACCGTCCAGGCAGCCTGCCTGAGTTGCTCTCGGCCCCTCCTCTGACAGCCTCAACACCTACAAAGTTCTTTCGCAAACGTGTTTAACCCTCATAACAGCTCTGGGAGTTGGGTGTTGTCCCAGTTTACCGTAGACGAACTGGATCATGTATGGTCCCATTACCTACCCTGCCAGGAGCCCACTCACAGAGGCTCATGCCTGAGTGGGAGGAGGACTGGGGGTGCTCCTTCCCCCACCTCAGCCAGCCAGGCCCAGCACTGAGTGAGGGGCCAAGTGGGAGGGGAGGCGGCCTGTGATGGAGGGAGGGGGGCCCAGGGAAGTGGAGGGCAGGTGGAGGCTGCCAGCAGGGGGACCTGCCAAATAGAGAGAGAGGCCAGGAGGGGCTGGGAGGCCTTGAGGGCAGGGAGAGCAGGGGTGGGAATGCAGAGGCAGGCTGTAGGAGCAGGCTCCGCATCTGAGACCTGGGAGGAACCTCCTTGGGTCACCCTACTCATTGTACAGATCAGGAAATTGAGGCCCAGGCAGGAACAGAAATTCATCTAAGGCCGCTCAGCCTGCCAGAGACCAAGCCAGGATCTGTGCCAGAGCACCCCCAGACTGTTCCTGGAGAACCCAGGAACCAGCCCCATGGGGCCCATTCAGCAGGCACTGAATGCAACTTCCAGTCCCCGGGGCTCTCTGGTGGCCAGCAGGGGGTGGTACTGCTCCAGGAGTGGCAGCTCCCAGGCTCCCAGCCACCGCCCTCAGGCCCATCCCAAGGTCCCAGGGCAGAACCAGGACTGGGAACACAGAAGGCACAGGTAGGGGGCAGGGTTCCTAGGGGTTGGAAGAGCTGCACGCAGAGCTGAACATGAGACTCCCAGGCCCATTCTGACGCCAGGTCCTTCTAATCTGAGTGAGGGCAGGAATAAGCCCTTCCTTTCTCCTTGTACATCCACCAGTTGAGAGAACATTCTAGAAACACAACCAACTCCAAAGTCTCCTCTCTTGAGAAGGGAAGGGGCTGGAGAAGAAACTGTGTCCCAGAAGACAGCCTTGCACGGAAAGTTGGCCTGCAAAGGAGGCTAGACCTAAAGAGGAAGTTTTAGAGGCCACCACACGGAGTATCCACCATGGATTCCGGGATTGTCCCTTTCTTAGAATCGTGCTCTAGGAGAAGGTGGAGAAAGGATGGCCAAATGTGGTGCTGGGGAGACAAGGTCTACATGTCCTGTTGCTGTTTCAGGGCCCCTCAGGTGGGATGAGGGAGAATTTTCCCCAGCACAGCCGAAGAAGAGCAGGGGCATGGGGTAGTGAGGGCGGCCTCAGGGGTCAAGAAGATGAGCCACTCTGGCCCCCAGGAGAGATGCCCAGGGTGCAGGGGTCTCTGCGTCACACCCATCAGCCCTGGGACCCTTCCCAATGGCGAGGGCTTGTATTCCTAACCAAACCTCTGGATCCAGTCCCAGCGGGAACCCCTGCTGTAAACGCTCCCAAGGCCTCCCTTCCAAATCCCAGGAGTCCAGCTTCTCAGGCCAAAAGTCCCACAGCAGCTGTCAGGGCAAGATCTAGGAAGAGGGGATCTTGAGGTCTCAGGTCAGAAAACCTCCACACACCTGCCTCTCCCAAGATTTAAAATGCCCAGGGGGGTAGGGGTTCCCATCCCATGCTACTAGACTTCACTGTGGTCCTCAGCCCCAAGCCCGCTGGGCCCTTTGCAGCATGGACAGATGGTCTTGAAGGGGTCCCTTTCAGCCCCACGCCCCTTGGTTTCCCATCGATGCATCGTACACCGAAGTTCGGGCGCTGTGTACTGGAAAGCCCCTGTCAGGCCCAGTTGTCCTACAATTAACCCTTCAGTTCTCCCAAGCTGACGGCTCCAGCGCACAGAGAGCAAACAGGGTGGGGAGGAGGTTGGCGAGTCACAGCAGGCACCTGGGACAGAAGGGCAAGGAAAATGGAGATGTGGCACATGCAGGAGGTGGGGACAGCAACCTGGCAGGTCTCGGGGCCTGCATCACCTGGAGGAGCTGGTGACTCAGGGCTGACAGAAGAGCTGAAACCAGACAGGAAAGCATAGGAAGGAGGGGCACCCACTGTAACCTTTGTCCTCTGACAGGTGCACTTCCAGTCCAGCGTTTCTGTGAGTCAGCGTCTCTAGACATCACCACCTGGGCTCTCCCAGTGCCTCAGGCTGACATCTGAGTCTAGCCCATGCCCATCTAAACCTCCACACCCTGGTTCAACCGCCATCAGAACCATATAACAGCTGCTTCAGATGGAAAAGCTCCTCTTCAGGGGTTTTCACCACGCTGATGGTAAAGGCAGGACTCCTGGGCCTCCGAGTCCACTGCAGCCACTCCGGCTTTGCCTTAGCCCCTCTGCTCCCCCTTCTCTCCACCTAGCCTGTGCTCCTGCTCTTCCTCCTGCCTAGCATTCCCCTCCCACTCCTGCTTTGCCTAGTGGGTACTGGCTCATCCTTCAGGTTTCAACCCATGTCACCTCCTCCAGGGAGCCTTCCCTGACCTCTCCACTAAGTCAGATCCCCCATTACATGTGCTCCTGGCACTATGCCTCCCTCTTTGAACCCTTTGCAGAGTTCAGTTGTATGGTGAGTGATGAGTGCCTGCCTCCTGTACTAGAACTGAAGCTCCATGAGGGCAGGGACTGGGGCTTGGTCTAGTTTGTCCTCCATTGTCCCGGCAGTGTGTGGCACAGCCAGTGCTAGGCACATAGTAGGCCCTCAGTAAACGTGCTGTGAATGAGTAGGTTCCCTGGCCCAGCTGACTGGATGTCCCATGGGTCCCTGCCACCCCATCCCATCTATCTGGCCCCAGCTCCTCTCTGTGACTCTTTTCATCTGCAGTCCTCGGAGCCTTCTAAAGTTTGGGCTCTGTGCTGGGGACCAGGCAACCTGCCCCTGGGGCCTCAAGATCAAGGCAAGACTCAATAGCCCTGCAACAGGTTACAAGGGTAGCCTCAGTGACACCAATTGCTCGGACCCAGTGACTCAGAGGAAGCCAGTCCTCCAGAGCCCACATCCAGTTCACATCCTCTTTGATGATTTTGCATCTGGCTGCCATTCCAATCTTAAGGTCTATCCGGCCTCCACCGAGAAATCAGAGGCCCAGAGATGGTTGGGGCTCAGCCCAAGGTCACACAGCACAGCTGTCACAGAGCCGCGCCAAGAATCCAGGGCGCCAGCTCCAGCACAGGGTTCTCCCCATTGTATAATAAACGTGGCTATTTTTAGGAAGTGAATTAGCAAGTCAAATGTGACTTCTGCTAATAATACCACCTTTCTGCTTTTCAGAGTCTTCATCACCTTATTTGCTCCTGCAGCATCAAGGTGGGCTGGGCACTGAAGTAGGTGGTGAGCTCATCTGAAAGGTGTGGTCAGAGAGAGGAAGTGACTGGCCCTGAAACGCAGTAAGCCCACTCTTCCTGCCTGCCCTGCTCAGCGCTCCTCCCAGAAGGATGCAGTGCCCCAGAGGTCCCTCCCCATGACCTGGCTGCCAGTCTCGCATATGGGCAGCCTCCTCGGGGCACTCAGACCAACCCCTGCCTCCCCAGCCTGCTGTCCTTTCAGCCCTCCCACCCCATCCCCAAGCTGAGGTCAGCCTCCTGCCTCCCCTGGCCCCTGGCAGACCCTGCTCCTGTGCCAGCTCCAGCCCTGCCTTCTCACAGCCTGTGGGCCACAGGTGGCCTCAAGGCCTGGCATCCAGTTGTGTTTTTTCCCCTGCAAATTCCTTAGCACATGCCAGGGGTAGCTCTGAGCAGGAAGGCACAGGCAGCCAGCTCTGCAGCCTGGGCTTCCCTCACTTGGGACCTCAGTTCCCCGTGAGGACAACAGCCTCATTCCAAGAGGGACTGGGGTCAGATCCAGCCCCTAGTCCTACAACCCCTACCCCTTCCTACTCCCCCACAGAAGCTCCTCAGACATTTGGCAGCACCAGACAGGGCCGGATGGACGCAAACATGAGGTCAGATCTCAATTGCTTCCTGAGCCCTTCCCAGAGGATCGGGGTTCTTTCCAACCAGGAAGCAGCTGAGGTGCTCCATAAAGGAAACCAGAGAGTCGGGGAGGGATGGAGATCATTGCTGGCAGACAATGTGACAATGCCCCCATTTCCCAGATGGGCAACTGAGTCACAAGCCATAACCCAGCATGCTGTGACCACCATGAGCCCTCACCTCTTGTAAAAGGCTGTTCTAAGTCCAAGGGCCTAGGATGAGCCGAGGAGGGGGTTGGGCTAAGGCCAGAAGGATACCTGGGCCAGCTCCCAGGAGCCCTGACTCCCAGGAGAGGGACCCGTGGTAATGGGTCCTTCATTCAGACTCAGGCTGGGGAATTCTGCAGTGAGGGGAGCTTTTCAGAGAGGGGTGCTGTGGGGGACTCAAGGGCAGCAAGTGGGAGGAAGGCACTGGGATCTGCTCAGCAGGTGCAAAGGGACTAGCAGAGGAGGCGCTCGGTGATCCTCCTCAGGTGACCTTGCTGGCCTGTCTCCCCTCCGGCGTCAGCTGGCTCGCAGGAGAAGATCCGGGTTTAAGTTGGGTATGTCCCAATAGCTCAGACTCCTGGACCTGGCAGGCCAGCAGGGAGGGGCAGCGTAGCAGGAGGGAGACAGGCAAGGCCATCATGATGAGGAAAGAGGAGGAGGGGCCTCCCCAGGGTGGCAGGCACAAGGCTGTCCAGGGGAACCCACAGCTGCCCCTGGGTGGAGGGGCAGTGGGTGCCTCTCCCTCCATCCGTTAACTGGCAGGATGAGATGGGCACTCTCCTTGCCCAGGCCCAGACCTGGTCCCCACAACCGGAGCCTCCCACCCAGCATTGTCCTCCCTGGGGAGCCATGCTGGCTGCGGGACTGCGGCCATGCCTGGCAGGGGACGGTGCTGATGCTGACACAGCAAGAACCAGGCCAGCCGTGAACAAAGAAACGTGGGAAGGGGCCGCATCTGCAAGAGTCGTTCCTGCGGTGGCGGCCAGCACCGTGCGCTCCAGGCTCAGGGCGGAGGCACAAGACTGCCCAAGTGTTCCAGCCAGCATGTTCCTGATAAGATACTCGGGGCAAAGCTGGTCAAGGTCCTCCGGGCACAGCTCTGTACAAAAATCTCTATCACCTCTCCCCAGGGCCCCACCCCCTACTCTCCCGACACAAAAGGCCTTTGGACCACCTTTCAACCCCAACAGCAGGGTCCGCCCGCCACCCTCACCCTTTCCGCCATGTTCCCCATCAGGGTGGGAGGGGCCATGCTAGGCCCAGAGGCGGACAGCACCGGTCCAGAGGGGCTTCAGTGCCCTGATTGGCTTGTGGTTGTGGGGGAGGCACCCAGAAGCAGGGAGGCTGGCCAGGTGCAGGAGCCCTGATGCTGGGCCCGTCACACAGCATCAGGGAAGGAGCTGCCAGCACCGGTGGGGTGAGGGCTGGGAGCCTCGGGGAAGCAGTGGCTTTTCAGCTGAGTAAGGAGAAACATTAGCTAAAGTGGAGGTGGTGCCCCACTTTCCAGACGCAAGCGAGGGGGAGCTGCCCACTGCCCGCAGGGCCCCAGGGCGGGGCGGGAGGGCTCAGCACGGAGCGGTCCACCGAGCCAGGCCAGGCAGGGTCAGCACACGGACTGGCGGAGACCAGGGTCCCAGAGAGGTGGGGACAGGAGGCACCCCCGCCCCTGCCGCATGAGGAACACATGAACAGGGGGTAGAGTGCGATGCAGCTGTGGGCCTAACCCCAAAGCTGGTGGGACCCAGCAGGCCGGTCCTTGGGGCTGGGAGCAGGGGAACCCCAGAGATCAGCTGCTCCTAGGGTTGAGCTTCTGCCTGAAGCTGGGAAAGCCACAGAGAGGCTGAGCATGTGGCACAGGGACTCACAGCCTGGATGGGGCTGCAGTGCCCGCCCCTGGACGTCCCACAGTGGAGCTCCCTCCTGCCTCCACGGCCCACCATCCTGAGCATCCAGCTTGGGGTGCTTCCATCCCTTTTTTGAGTTCATTCCTGTGGCCAAGCCCTTCCCCCATGGTTCCCCATGCCGGCACCCCAGGAGGGTCCTGCCCCTTCTTTCCTACCCAGCCTCAGCTCCTTCCCCCAAGGCTCCAAGCCCCCTCGCCCTGCTCATGGCAAATCGCCGTTCTTCAGCTGGAGCCAGGATCTTAGCTCGACCCCAGCCCCTGGTCCATAGAGAGAAGCCAGAAGCCGACAGTCCCAGACCCAGGCTGCGGCTGAGCTCAGGCTAGGACAGGTCTCCTGCCACACCCCTGCAGCTCAGAGGGCATCGCCTGTCTCTTCAGAGCCTCCCAGACCCCCCTGGTTCAAAGTTCCACTACCACGCACTCTGCGATCTCCCACAATCTGCTCTATATTCTGAGCTTCTTCATTGATGAAATGAAGATAACAAATTTTGCCCGATGAAGTCGTTAGAGGGATTCGATAAAATACATGCACAGGCAGGCCCCATGCCAGGAGCATCTGAGGCCTGAGACCTCCCTCCCCGCCTCACTCAAGCCATGGACATTCCTGAGCAGCACCAGGAACCCGAGACCTCATTCTGGGAAACCGGACACCAGCCAGGAATCAGTGGCCAGAGGCTCCGGGAATAGAGGGAGGCCCTGGACGGGGACAGAGCTGGAGGCGGCCGGCGGGGAGGCCAGTGTCGAGAAGGCTGCTCAGGGACAGCCCCTCTGAGAATGCGCCCTGAGGCCCTAAAGGAATGGGTTGTGCAGCTTGTGGAGGAAGGCGTCTTTCAGGTTCTAAGAAATGGTTATCTGACCCTGTTACCACACCACAGTGGGGCCTCTGTGTGGGGCTGATAAGGCCAGAAGGTATCTCGAGGTATTTTCTTTCCTTTTCCGTGAGTGGCCTGAGATACGGGGTGCAGGGGACACTTGGGTCACGGGCTGCCTCACAGGCCCCCCTCAGTCACCAGGGCACCACAGAGCACCTGCTGCTGAGTGGTGGGGACCCAAGATGGGCCCTTGAGGGAGCCAGCCAGTGCTGGGGAACTACCCTTCATCATGTCAGGGAAAAGGAAAGGGCCCCTGCGTGACAGGGTTGACCTGGCTCCCCTGTCATGACCCACAGAGGCCTGCTCTCTGCTTGTCCCGGCCCCCCACAAATGCCCAGCCAGGAATGCCTGCCTGAATGCTCGGCGTACAGAGATGAGGGCTGGAAGCCAGCTATGTCACCTTCGTTCCCTCACCTGTACAATGGGGGTGTGGACAGTAACATTGTCCTCAGAGGGTTCCTGGAAGGAATAGGGGAGATGGGGCTAGAGCCTGGCTCAGCCAGAGTGCTCGGTAAAGGCCGGGCAAGGTGGCTTACGCTGTAATCCCAGCACTTTAGGAGGCCAAGGTGGGCAGACTGCCTGAGGTCGGGAGCTCAAGACCAGCCTGACCAACATGGTGGAACCCTATCTCTACTAAAAATAGAAAAAATTAGGTGGATATGGTGGCATGTGCCTGTAATCCCAGCTACTCAGGAGGCTGAGGAAGGAGAATCACTTGAACCCAGGAGCAGAGTTTGCAGTGAGCTGAGATGGCACCACTGCCCTCCAGGCTGGGCAACAGAGCAAGACTCAGAAAAACACACATACACACACACACACACACACACACACAAAACAGTTCTCAGTAAGTGCTACTTCCTTTCTCCCAGGACCTGTGGCTCCTAGGATGACCCCCACCATCTGCCCCTAGGCACCAGGAGTGAGTCAGCTCTGAAAAGAAACCGAGAATGAAGCTTTGGGACTTGGCACCTGCCTTCAGGGAGCCGATGGTCCAGCCAGGGGGATTAGGGCTCATGTCTCTTCCTGGGCCTCCAGGAGGGAGAAGCCCATGACCTTCAAAGCTAGAATGAGGAAGCCAGTGGTGGCAGAGTGGGGCCCTACGTGAAGTGCCTGTGACAGGAGCTCTCTCGTATGTCCAGGAGAGTGACAGGAACCCCAGGCATTCAAGAAACCAAACAGGCACCCACAATAAATGAAGAGATCAGGAATTTACCAGGCCACAGTGGCTGCTTGGCAGCCACATGCAGGAGTGCAGGAGACAGACAACACCGTGGCCGGGCCTCCCACGCTCCATGCCATGTCTGTAGCCACCACAGACTCACTCCACAGTGTGACACAGGATAGGTCACAGCACCTGTCTGGCCTCAGCTTCCCAACTGTCAGATGGAGAGGATCAGCGCCCTCCCCCTGAGGCCAACATGAACACCACACCAGGTAAATCAGGACCTGCTCCTGTGTGTGGGGAGGGGGGTTGCCAACAAAGACAACAGAGAGTTCCTTTTCCCTGAGGTGATGAAAGGTAGTTCCGACTTTCAGAAAAGAGAAGTGGGTGGATCCTTCGGAAACAGTTCCACCCCCAGGCAGAGCGGCTCTGATGATTCAGTAGGTAACTTCCAGGTGTGCCCAGGAGGCGTAAGCTACCAAAGCCAGGTCCTCTCACCTGAATTTTCATCCAGCCCAAGTCTACCTCTGGACACCTACCCCTTCCTGGGACCTCCAGGCCAGGCCTGGAGAGGACATGAGCCTGGAGGAGGCCCTCCCAAGCCCAAGCAGGAGGTAGACTTGGGGACAGCGGGCCTTTCCATCAGGCGGGGCTCGGCCAAGATGCCAGCAGCACCCAAGGCCTATTGAGTGACTCTCAGGCCCCAGCGTCTCTCCCCTGGGTCCCTTTTATCCTGTTTCCCAAAGCCCCACAGGCTTCCCTGCCTCTATGGCTTTGCTAAGGCCTCCCACCTGCCCCATTCACTCCGGCTTCTGCCTCTGTGCCTGCCGGGCTGCCCCACCTGGAGGCCTCCCCTGTGTTCTCTGGGCTTCTCACCACATGGCTGCCTCAGTTATCTGTAAGAGTGGCTGGAGCTCCCCCCGCCCTGCCTCTGCCCCTCCTTGACTCTGCCTGTGTCCCCCCTCCCATCACCACCTTAGCCTGGCTCTCCTCCTTCCTCAGGACTCAGGAGCCATTGAGGCTATTGGGCACCTGCTGACATTCTGCCTGGTCTCCCTGGCTTTCAGCCTCCCCCACCACTGCCTGCTGCTGCCTCTGGGCATCAAACCAGCTGCTTGAGTATTTCCCATCCCACAGGACCCCTCTCTCCACAGCCCTGCACCCACACTCCAGCCTCTGCCCTCGGCTCTGAAAGCATGGGCTCCACTCATGGCCTCCATTAAGCCCCTCCTCCCTGTCCCCTGAACCCCTGGGATCTAACTCCTGCCCCAACACCCCACCACGGCCACTGACCACCTATCTGTGGTTATGCCTGGGGCACTTCAATGCCATCCTGCCTTGATTCCTCAAAGCCATTCCCAAGCGTAGATCCTTCTCTCTCTCTCTCTCTCTTTCTGTCTCTCTCTCTCTCTGAGACGGAGTCTTGCTCTGTCGCCAACCTAGAATGCAGTAGCGAGATCTCGGCTCACTGCAACCTCCGCCTCCTAAATTCAAGCAATTCCTCTGCCTCAGCCTCCCAAGTAGCTGGGATCACAGGCACGTGCCTCCATGCCCGGCTAATTTTTTGTATTTTTGGTAGAGATGGGGTTTTACCATGTTGGCCAGGATGACCTCAAACTCCTGACCTCATGATCCGCCTGCCTCAGCCTCCCAAAGTGCTGGGATTACAGGCATGAGCCACTGCGCCCAACCAACTCTCCATCTCTTCTTGAAACATGTGCCCATGCTCCTGGCCCCTGAGATGCCCACCCAGATTTCCTCCCATCTCCCTGTCCACTCCATCACTGGCCCCTTTGAGGTTCCACTTCCTCCTCCTGAGGCCACCCTCAAAGAAGCCCCACCCAGGGCTCTGTCCTTGGCCTTTATCCCCCACCTCACCTCCACCCAGGGAGACAGACCTCTTCTACCCCTAGTCTGCCCCTCCTCCTGCATTCTCAAGCCCCCCACCCTCTGGCTCCTCTCTTGAGGTCCAAACCAGATAATCCACATGCCTGCTGGACACCACCTCCAGGATGTTCCTCGAGATGCCCTCCCTTCTCTTTCCTTTGTTCTCAGCCCAGATGCTGAAAGAGGCACCAACTTTCACCCCTCCTGATCTCATTGGGTCTTAAGGCATTAGTTGCTGTCTGTATTGTCCACACCCAAACAGATGCCTGGCCGGCCTCCCTTCCCTGTCCAGGCCTCCCCCCGGCTGCCCACACAACACTCCACTTGAATGTCTAACAAGCATCTCAGCCATTCCAGCTCCCGCTCCCCACAGCACCCTAACCGACTTCCCCCACCACCACACTCTCCCCAACCCCAGCTGGCAGCTTTCTCCTTCCTGTTGCTCAGACCAAAAGCCTTGGAGGCGTCCCAGACCCCTCTCCCTCTCCCGTTCATGGGCAAATCTTGCGGCTCTGATCTCAAAGGAGACCCAGAGTCTGACTGCCGTCCCCATCCTGTACCAGGTCCCCATCATTTCTCATCTGGCTCATTGCAGAAGCCTCCTAATTGGTCTCCCTGCTCCCACATTTTCACTGCTGCCCCCAGGTGTTCCCAGCACAGTCGCCAAAGCCGTCCTGTTCAGGTTTGTCACTGGATTGCCTCTCCGGTTGACGCTTTTCGGATGCTCGCCTCCCCCCCGACCCCCCACCCCGCCAGCCCATGTCACTCTCAGTAAAAACAGGGAATGATTGGGCGCCCTGGCCTCCTCGCCTGCATCCCCTGCTCTCCTCCCTGCACCCTCTTCTCTCTGGCTACACTGCAGAAGCCTCCCTTGGGGTATCAGTTGACAAAGGCTGGGTTGTGCTGCAGTGACCACCCCCAGTCACTGGGCCTTAAAAGCAGAGAGGGGCATTTCTTATTCCAGCTTCATGTCCATGAGGGTCAGCAGCAAGATGTATGCTGCATCGGCCTCACTCATGACCATGCTGGGGACATCTGGAGAATCACTAGCTTCCGGGCAGGGTGACTGGGACATGGAATCACTCACTGGCTCTCCATGCTTCAGCTCAGAAGATATACGCATCTCTTCCACTCGTATCTCATCACTGTCCAGAGCAGATGACAGGGCTGGGCCTGACCCCAAATGGTAGAAGTATAGCCCAGCCAGGTGCGGTAGCCCACGCCTGTGATTCCAGCACTTTAGGAGGCTGAGGTTGGTAGATCACGAGGTCAGGAGATCAAGACCAGCCTGGCCAACATGGTGAAACCCCATCTGAACTAAAAGTACAAAAAATTGTACAAAAAATTAGCTGGACGTGGTGGTGTGCACATATAGTCCCAGCTACTCAGGAGGCTGAGGCAGGAGAATCACTTGTACCCAAGATCACGCCACTGCACTCCACTCCAGCCTGGCAACAGAATAAGACTCTGTCTCAAAAAAAAAAAAAAAGAAGAAGAAATGTAGCCCTTCCCTGTGCCCACTGACGGACAGGGTGGCGGCCTCCCCACTGCTGCTCCTCCAATGCACTAGACATAACCCCACTCCGGGCCTTTGCCCTGGCTGTTCTCTCTGCCTGGCGTGCCCTTCCCCAAACAACTGCACAGCTCGCCCCTCACATTCTTTCAGTCTTAGTTCGAATGATGAGACTTCCCCTGACTACCTCACTTTAAACTTCAGACGCCTCCTGGACCAGGGCTGCCAATCCCCCTTACCTTTACGTTAGTTTTCCACGGTGCTAACAGGTTACCTAATTACATATTTCTTATGTGTATCCATCAGCTAGAAGGAAAGCCCCTTGAGGGCAGGGGCATTTGTTGGTTTTGGTGACTGACGTAAGCCCAGCTCCCAGGACAGTGCTTAGCACTAGTAGCACTCCATACTTTTGCTGCATGAATGAATGAATGGATGGATGGATTTGGGTCCCCATTCACCACCAGGTCTTGTTCCCACATCCTTCAAAGCTTTTCAATCTACACTTGAGTCCCCATCCCAAACTCGCTGCCTTCCCCAGGCCCTCACTGCTTCTCATCTGGGTCCCCATCTCATAACAGCTCCTGACTGTCCCTGGCCTCCAGCCATCCCCTTCCATTCCAACACCACGCGAAAAGCAGGATAGCAAGGTGATTCTGGCATGGGCGCAGGGTCCGTTCTCTGGCTCTGCTGTTCACCAGCTGTGTGACTTTGGACTCGTTCTTTAACCTTCCTATGCCCCAGCCCCATGTGTGTTAAAAAAATGGGTGATGATAATAGCACTTCTCTCACAGGGGTTGGAGTTCGGAGAGGCTTAAATGAGACTGTGCATGCAAAGCACATTGTAAATGTGGAATATTGCTTTACCATTGCCAGATCTTCTTACCAGACAAAGCAGATCTGAATCTGCTGAAAACTGTCCCATGGCTCCTGGTGGTTCTCAGTTTCTTCTCTGTGCCCAGGGGCCCTCCCAAGCTGGTCTCCATCTCACTTGCCTGGTCTGTCCCTTCTTCCTTCCAGTCCCACCAAACTCCCCAGGGCCTCCCAAGCCTGTCATGCTGCCTCCTGCCCCGGCCTGGGCATCAGGCATTTTCTCTACTCTTCACTGACTTACAGTTGCTTTCTTACCTAACAAGAAATCCCGGAGCTTTTTTGCACATTCATACACAGAAAACTTTCAGATTCTTTTTGTTTGTTCTTTTTTAAGACTGAGTCTCGCTCTGTCACCCCAGTTGGAGTGTAGTGGCACAGTCTCAGCTCTCTGCAACCTCTGCCCCCACAGGTCCAAGCAATTCTTATACCTCAGCCTCCCAAGTAGCTGGGATTACAAGTGCCCACCACCATGCCTGGGTAATTTTTGTATTTTTAGTAGAGACAGAGTTTCACCATGTTGGCCAGGCTGCTCTTGAACTCCTGACCTCAAGTGATCTGCCCACTTGGCCTCCCAAAATGCTGGAATTACAGGTGTCTGTCTCATGGTTTTTTTTAGAGCTGTCTTGAATTCCATCATGGGACATACCATTGGGACATATCAGTCCCGAGTTGATGTCTATTGAGAATGTTTCCGATCTTCTTCCATCACAAGTGTGCGGCTTCGTGTGTGTGCCTCTGTCATATTTGTGCAGGTGTCTCTGTAAGACAGACTCTCAGAAGTGGGATTGCTGGGTCAAAGGTAGCTAGCAAGGCACGACGTGCTGCTTCCCACGGCCTTGCCAGCCCAGTGTGCTCCCCACCAGACCCAGGATCTGGCCCCAAGGATGAACGATGCAGAACTCATGCCCTCCCCTCTGTGTCATCCTGCCTCCTTCAGCAGTAGGGCTGGAGCCCATGGTGAGAGGCCAGCTCTACTTTCTGCCTCAGTCAGGGTCAGTCCGCTTGAGTGTGATACGTGGGGGATGAGCTGGGAGACACTGGAGTTAGCTGGGGAGGGGAGGCAAGCCCCCAAACACCTCCAGAACACTCTGAGCCTTCATGAAGGCTGTGGGAGGGAGCATGGCCTCTTACCCACACTCTCCCCACCTGGGCTCTTCTCTCCACTGGCAGCCTCTGCCTCCCTACCAGAGCCAGAGCGGGGATGGTGGTGGCACCCCAGGCACCAGTGAGCAAGCTTCGGGGTCCATCCCCCACTAGGGTTTGGCGATCAGACTCCTGGAAGAGGGGATGACAGAACTTCAAGACCATGCGTGGAGAGCATCCCAGGAGAGCCAGCCCCAGCCCATGCCATGGTTTCATGGCTCATGTGGGCATCCTCCTGCTGGCCCACACAGAGTCAGCAGCTGGGGTTGGGAAGCCTCCGAGGCCCAGGCCTGCTTCACCGGGAGGCATCCCTGCATGGAAGTGAGAGGGCCCAGGAGGGGCCCGGCTCTCTGCCTCTCTACCATTTGAAGAAAAGTCCCGCTCCTCGGCTGAGCCCTCAGGGCCCTTCTCCAGCCCCTTCCCCACTGCCCGCCGGCCTCCCACACCCCGCACTCCAGTCGGTCCTGTGGAAATGCTTGCACTCCTCCAAATGGGTAATTCCGCCGCCTACCTCCATGCCTCTGACCACACAGCTCCTTTTCCAGCTAACTCCCACTTTTTTGCAAAGACAACTCAAGTCCCTTGGACCAGCCTGCTTGCCCCTATGCACTCACACAGCACCCGTCCGTCCCGCACAGCACCCCCATCCGGGTTGACTGTCAGAGCTCTCAGCCCACTGGGCTACTTGTCCCAAAGGCATGCAGCATGTCCCAAAGTCTGTCTCACACAGGCCTGGCTGCCGGAGGGATGGAAGCTTCTACCTGGAGTAGCTGAGCTGTCTAGGGAAGTTTCAGCCATGTCAAGCCCCTGGCGTTGCCAAAATCCCCCACCCCACGGTGCCACAGCACCAGGGCAGCCCCCAGGAAAAGCCAGGCCCTCAGAGGCCCTGTGCTAAAGACCCAGAAATTGCCCGGGGTCCCCACAGGAGCTCCGCAATGGGGAAGTGAGCCCTCCTGAGCCTGGCTAGCAGGAGGCTCTTCAAGGTCAGCGTCATCTGGACTTCCCCCACCAGCTGCGTGTCTGCACAGCAGCCACAGAGACGGGCTTGGGGGCTGCTGGGAAACAGATCAGAAGGC